GTCAGACAGAGGGGTCGTACCAACTCCCCAAAAAGAGGGGGGGGGGTCGTACAGACTCGATCAAAATCCCCAACCAATGATAAGCCCTGCTCCGAAGAAGGTGGCTTCGCTAGAAGCCCAAGTGAGATTCAAGAGCAGTAGTTACCTGTTGTTCTGTTGATCATCAAATTCCTCAGACGAACGCCGTTATGTCTTCTTCCTTCCCGGCGAACCAAGGCAGTACATTGCATTCTCCTATCTTCGGCAAACACAGAGCCTCTCGATTTTTTCGTGCATAGTGTTTATGAAGAAGCCTGACTGTAGGACTTGACGGTCATTCTGATGTTCGTTTCCTCCCGTGGGATCCACTCGGTAATCAACGGTCACACAGGATCACATTATGAATCCCCTTACCTGATCTGATATTCCTTACAGGGTACAGCGTCGTTGGAGAGATCGTATTAGGGAAGTCGCATTTTGTCCCCAGGGACAAGGGTCATATTTGATCATTGGAGTTCGTATTTCACCCGTACAGGGTATAGGGATTTTTCCAAGCAACGACGAAACTTTCCGGTTGCGGCCTTTCCTCTCTTCCCTTGCCGTATCATGAGCGCTATAACCTCCTTCCTCTCCCGCTCCAGGCTCCAGGGAAAACTCAGAGAGATGACAGGTAGGGATAGGGAAATGAAGGTCGAACCATATGAGGAAATTTGGGGGTCGCACTGAGACCGCCTGCGCCTGACACCTGAAAATATGGAAACGTCCTAGATTACGACCGCTGGCGGAGTTCGGACCTCCGGATTTTCCTTGGCTGCGTGTACCAAGAAAACCCAAGCATCGTCTCCCTCCCCCCTCCTCCACAGCCCGCTTGGATAACGCTCGCCTAAGCCTTCGAAACCTGTGTTAATATCAAGACTACAGAATCCGATAGGTGGGCTCGTAGTGGAGTTTGCCTTATTCACTACCCCCGTTACACTTCCCCGTTATTAAAGGCCCCCAATGCAAAATCCGCGATATAGCGACAAATCTTTTTTGCAGGGCGCAGGAGTGGTAACTACACGGGGACACGTACGATTCGTTGTCACTGAATATGGAATTGCGGATTTAGGAGGAAAAAACATCCGTCAGAGGGCTTATGAGCTGATTAGAATTGCCCATCCAGATGATCGTCAACAGCTAGAAAAGCAAGCATTCGAACGTCTAAAATGCATGCCCTCTCTTTACTGAGCCATAATAATAAGCTTTTATAAGCGCACACAGGCATACATACATCGAAAAAACTGTGGACGTGCGCTATTACAGTAACCCTAAGTAATCACAAAAAAGACACTTCACTCACCTAGATACACGTCAGAGATGAACTGATTGAACGACTGATTGAACAAATACAATTGGAAAGTACGGACAGTACGAAACAGGGTACAACATCGTGATGGATGGGTGGCGGTGTCATGATATTCCACTCTTCCGATCTCCCGGAAACTTCCTCACTTCACACAACTCCCCTTCCTCATCCTACCTACCGTCTTCCTAAGTTTTCTCAACATTCTACAGCTTCCTCAGTCTTCCGCAAAGTGGCATCGAGAACAGGCTGAGAGGGAGGGGGGAAGGGAATCGTCACTAAACAGCTACTGCTTTCAACTATTGAAAGTAGCAGTTGTAGGGGATTTTGTGGCACCGCCAGTTTAGTGGGGAGGCATTGCTGTACTCTCAGTAATGGGCATAGCGCACGCGTAATGGAAAAAAAAAATCAACGACAAAAAATTGAAAAAAATCGACCCCTCCCCTCCAGCGACCAGGTAGGACTCCCCCTCCCCTAGTGAAATTCTCTCACTTGATGTCGTACCCTGCAGACGACAAACCTACCAAGTTACATTCAGATCCAGTGGCTGGACCGACTGAGAGTATCATTTTCAGTACTTCTAACTCCCCAGCCGGCCTATGTGTTGATCTGAAAGTAACTTGGAACAAAATCTAGTTGTGAATACGTCACCACTTTTCATCAAACATTGTGTAATGCCCTAAATCTGCTAAAAAAACATTCTAAGGTTAACAATACAATACTACTACTATAATCCGTAATAAGGTGATCTATTACAACAT